CGCGTCGCCCCCGCCGGGCCTCGCTCGCTCGTTCGGGCCGCTCGGCTCCTGACTTCGCCCCGTTCGCTCGCAGGTTCGATCGTTCGCTCGCTCGCGGCCGAGCCCTCAGCAAGCGCCTCGGGCGGGGAGGCGAAGCTCCAGGGGGCGGGGTGACGGCTCCTCCTCGGCCGCCATTGGGCAGCCAGCCCACGCCCGCACGCTGAATGGTGGTGGCTGACAGCTCCGCCCCTCCCCTCATCAACACCGCGCGGCCCCGCCCTCCGCGACCTGGGGCGGGCACAGGCTCACGACCTCTTTCCTTCATTGGTCCAACTATGAGGACGCTTCGGCACCCACTCACGTGCCCGGTGACCGGCTCGACTCTCAGTGGGTGCTGAGCACGCCCGTCTAAAGGGACGCAGCCAATCGACAGTGGTCAGGTCTGGGATACCCCGGAGCTCAGGCAGATTGACATGCTCGTTCTCAGGGACCCCGCTGCGAGCAGCACGGATTGGTGTTTGGTACCGGCCTCTGGGCGCTGATTGGTTGGGACTGAACGTCAATCACTGTCTTGGCTGCTCCGGACTCCGCCCTGTTATCAGGCGGCTGTTGAGTACGTGATACCCTGCACAACATCGGCACCGGGTCCGAGGCGCCGGGAGACAGTAGTTCGAGACCCGGTGGATCAAGACCCGGAGTCGGGATTTGACCACAGCTTTGCAAGGGGCCAAACTGGGATACAGAGGGTCCCCAAAGCGCCGTTCCCTTTAACGTGAGTGAGATCAGCCGGGGCCGTGCCTCTGGGGAAGTCACCTAACTGGGCCTCTGTTTCCTCCCATGAAATGATAGCGGTGCCCGCGTAAAATTTCGCAATAATTCAATGAGAGGAGAGGTTCTTTTCTCTACTTCTCAGTTTTCCTCCGTTCTGCTCTCTCCAGCTCAGTATGTTCCAAATTGGACACCTGGCCACCCAGATTCCAGCTACAGCTGTGGCTCTGTGGAGTGTTTATCATCATCCCCATCAATATGTATTTATAGTTTAAATTTTTATTCTGTGTATGTGCTCTATAGTCAGAGGGCCACTTGGGAGTTGACTCTCCTGCCATCTGGGTGCCAGGATCAAACTCAGTTTGTCAGGCTTGGTTGCAAGCCCTTTACCCACCAAGGCTGCTTACGGGTCCACCGTCATTATTTTTTTATATACTTGAGCAAGCAAGGATGAAGGTGTGCCCATTTTATGGGACAGGACTGTAAGTCCTTCCATTTTAACATCTAATATCTGGAAAATTCCCTCCTTAGAGCAAGGTGTTTGCTCTGCCCCTCCCCACTCCCAAGGTTTATTCCATAAATTATTCCAAGCTGGATGGCTCTTGAATTCTTTTCCTTGCTCTTCATTGTGTGATAATTGTAAGGGAAAAAGCCATTACCATGCCTGCCACCACCCTGAGTTTTGTAGAGTTGGAGGCAGCCTGTCTCCAGCTAAGCAGTGGTGGCACACTCCTTTAATCCCAGCACTGGGATGCAGAGGCAGGTGGATCTCTGTGAGTTCCAGGCCAGCCTGAGAAAAACCCTGTCTGAAAAAAAAAGAAAAAGAAAAACCCTGTCTCAAAAAAAAAAAAAATTTTTTTTCAAAAATATTTTATAAGGTGGCCCATGCCCTCAGCTGTAGCACTGGGGAGGTAGAGGCAGGTAGATCTGAGTTCCAGGTCAGCCTTCGATGGAACCATTGTGTTTGGGCTTTTTTTTGTTTTTCCAAGACAAGGTGTAGCCCTGACTGTCCAGGAACTTGTTCTGTTGACCAGGCTGGTCTCGAACTCACAGGTCTGCCTGCATTACCATGCCCAGCGCATTTTGATTTTGAGACAGGGTGTTGCTATGTGGCTTAGGCTAGTCTTGAAGTCAAGATCTTCCTGTCTGGGCCACCCGAATACAAGCTAACAGGCATACTGCACCACACGCAGCCATGCCGTTTCCTAAAAAGAACCTAGTTGTTGGTGGGACGGCGCCATGTGTATATAAAGGAACTTCCGCTCAAGCCTGACCACCCAGGTTCCACCCCCAGGTTCCACACAGTGAAAACGGACTTCCCAGAGCATCTGGCTCACACGTCCTAACACTGTTTTAGACTTAGGTGTCGGAGTGTTCTGCCTGCACGTTTTTTGTGTGCAGTACCTGCAGAGGCCAGAGAGGGCATCAACGCCCCGAAACTGGAGTCACAGGCGGGTTGTAACATCACTATGTGGGTGCTGAGAATCAAACCCAACTGCTCTCAACTCTCCAACCCCATTAAGCGTAAATTTTTTTTTTTAAAGCAAGACTCATCCGGGAGCGCCCCGCCCCGCCCCCCATACCATTCTGAGCAACCTAATGTGCTGTGGGTGGGGGACATGCCTCCAGTGTGCTCCCCCATCCACCACTCCACAGGAGCCCAGACCCTTCTGCCACCAGCAGTGCCCATACCAAATGCAAGCACGCCAGCCACACCAGAAACCACAGGAGCCCTCCTAACCCCCACCATGGGCCAGGGGCTCCAGACTCACAACTTAGCACTGCCTTTTCCCTACACATCTTCAACATCCAGTTTTCTATAAACCTGTGGTGCCATCTATACGATAGAACCTTCCAGAACAGAGCCAGCAAACTGCTAGTCAAAGGCTAGATGGTACTGTTCTCCGCTCTCAGAACTGCGGAGTTTGTCTGACTACTGGATGGTGCTGACTGCAGCAAGGGCCAGCATGTATGCGTGAATAGCTGTCTATATAAAACTTTATTTGTACAACCGAGCTGTGGCCCTGGACATCAGAGTGCCCTTATGCCCACTGTCTCATCAACCTCAACTCGTTTTCATGACAGCGCCAAAAGCAGTTTGAAAACAAGCAAACACAAACATCCAAATATCTGCAGAAAACAAATTTATTCTGAGATCTAAAATCTGAACAAAAAATATTGAACTTTAGAAAATATCCACATGGACACATGGAATTTCATTTTCTTCCCCAATATGTTAACAATCTAAAAAAAAAAACAAAACCACAAAACGTGACCCTTAAAACAGTGCTGTCCAGTCTGCCTGCGGTTACGTGTTCATTTTCCATGTTCTACTGAGGTACGGCCTGCTCACTTTGGTAAAGTTACAAGTAACAAAAGAAAACAAAAACCAACCAACGAAAACAAAACACACAGTCACAGTCTTCCTCAGTACAGGCTGTAACTACAAGAGAAATTCATCGAGGAAACCATTCATCCTGTTTTAAAAAATTACAAATACAGAAACCCTCATAATTCTCAGTTGCTGAGTTAAAAACAAGGTGAAAACTGGTCACCGCACCTCAAACCTCCACGACACCCAGCCAGCGAGCACCCCAGTGGCCAGGCTCCCGAGGCAGGCATCCGACAGTTCAGTGCCGAGGACAGTGGAGGGGCAGTGAGCCAAAGGCACGTGGTCAGTTTCGCTCCAGCTGATGCCCTGGCCTGAGGCCACAGTCGAGTCCCGCTGAGGTAATGTCAGCTACGCCCCAGAGGACCCGTGAGGATGGCGAGGCCAGGGTTGAGGCTAGCCCAGGACCCCCTCCAGGTCTCCTACGAAGGCATGAAGGCCAGCTGCTGGGGCCAACCCCAGAACCAAGCACCCTGCCAGCTGCCAGGAGAATATGCCTGATCTCTTCAAAGATGGTGGCAGGACTGTTCTAGGCAGCTGGTCTCGGGATGAGAACTCCTGACATGACACTGAGGTCTGGTACGGGGCTGAACAGTTTCTAAATCCTTCTTCAAAAAAGAAAAAGGCAGGTTTTTTTTTCCTTTCTCTTGGAGAATTAATTGCAGGCTTTGTATTAAAGAGAGAGAGAGAGGAGAGAGAGAGAAAAGGAAAAAAAAAAAGAAATGGAAAACAAGATGTCCAACTGGTAGCCAGAACACGGGATTCTTGCAGGTGCCTGGTTAACTGGCGACCAAGGCAGACGGGTCGCCAGGGGCAGACATGGAAGGACACCACCTTCAAGCTAAGCCCACTACGAACTCGGAGCAGGGCCAAGAGGCCTCCGCCTGGTTCTCAGCATCACCGGCCGCTGCCGTAACCAGGGAAGAGCTGGTTGAGAACGGTCTGCAAAGGCTGATTCACCCGGGTTGGGGAACTGTGGTCCAGGTCACAGCGACAGGCTGGGCAGCTGAACACCTCGGCCCGGAAGGACCTGTCCAGGCAGTCCTGCATGAGACATGAGCAGGGTGAGGGGACAGCCGGGAGCGGCCACGCAGGCACTCAGCTTCCGCCTGACTCGCAGGCGCCCACTCAGGACTCGGAGCTCCTTCCTCTAGTCCCTGGTGATGGCCTAGATGGGGTGAGTGTATGGGAGCCTGGGGTCTCTACATAGGATAAGGCTGAGGCAACAGTCATGCACCCCAAGAGTGCAGGCAGTGGTTCAGGCCACCTTCCCAAGCCTCCCACCCGCCTCCTCACCTTGCAGACATTGTGCTGACACACAGTGGTGACGGGCCGGAACACCAGCTCCTGGCAGCAGATACACTGGAAAGCCTCCTTCACCTTGCTCAGGAAGACCTGATACTGCAGAGTGGGTGTGGGAGGGCACACTTCCATCATCCTCACCCCAGGCACAAGACAGAACCCCGCACCCCCAGCTGAGCCTGAGAAAGACTGAAGATGCTGCAGTGAGAGGCAGGAGAAGCCACCTGACAACACAGGGTGCTGGCCCTGTGCAAGTGACCGGATCAGAGCCTCAGCTTTCAGCCCTGAAGGTACAACACGCTCTGGACTGACTGACTGGGACTCACGGGCCATAAGGAGTAGAAGCTTCATCCTGCTGGACCCTGAGTGAACCAGCGAAGCTGGCCTCACCAGGACAGCAGCCATCCTGGCAAGACCCCACACTGTCCCAGCCTTGCCGATGGCAGCGAAGCCCTAACGGGTTGATCCTCATCAACACACACTCCCACTCCTGGGACACACTGAAGCCAAGCACAGCAGAGGCTAAGGGACAACTCACACCCAGGTCTCAGTGGCACAAGAGCAGCCCACGGGACCCCAACGGATGGACAGTCACTGGAGAAGGCAGTCTACCCACAGAGGGAGGAGATCACTCAAGCAGAAAAGGAAAGGTGTTCTGACATCCACTGTAGCCAACATAGATGGCCCCGGAGACGTGAGCAGTCACAAAAAGGCAAAGCCGCCGGGTCCCACTCCCAGAAGGTCCCTGAAGTCAGCGAGTCACAGAGGAAGAGGGATGGTGGGTGCCAGAGCTAATTAATGCTAAAAGGTGGCAGAGCTTTAGTGTGGGGACATGGAGAGTTCCAGGACAGCTGCACGCGCACAGGAATGGGCTGCGAGGCCACCCTGACCTGGCGTGCTGCAGCAGGCCAGAACAGACTGACCCAGCTTGCCCTCAGAGGGATGGGGCCCTGCGGCTCACCGGCCCATCCTGAAGGGAACGCAGCACGTCGTCCCACAGCTTGGCGTTGCTCTTGTCCTCCTTGATGAGGTTGGCCTGCTGCTCCGGGAGTGTGTAAGGCTCCAGTTTGCTCTTCTTGGACACACGTGTGTTAGTGGCCGGGCCTGGGGGACGGGGGTGAACAGAACAAGACCTGTGAGGAGTACAGCAGTGCTAATGAAAACACTGGGCATGTGGGATGGACAGGAAGTCATCAGGACACATAGGAAGTGGGGATGGACGGCTGGGCTGGCAGGCGGGCACCCACCTGTGGTCTTCCGCTTGCACGAGCCTGTCTTGGAGGTTGTGGGTTTTTGTTCCACGGCCTTGGGTGGACGCTTCCTACTCTTCTCCTTGTTAGCCAAGGCCTCCAAGTAGCCTTCGGGGTACTGAAGGGGGAGGGACGGTGGACAAGAGTCAGGACTCAGCCCACCCTGCAGAGGCAGAGTGCCATCACCCGGCGAGCTCTTGGGCACCGGAAGGTATTGCTGGATAAGCATGAGGGCCAGGTGTGGCAATGCCGGGATCCTAACACTTGGGAGTCAGGAGGGGAGAGTCCTGTAACCAGCCTGGGTTATGTGAGGAAGACCCCTACGGAAAACTAAAGCCAGGGGTGATGACACTCATGTCACCCGCACTAGAGGTCAAGAGTGTCAGGAGTTCAAAGGTCGCAGCAACTTCAAAGCTAGCCTGGGCTACATGAAGCCAGGTGTGGTTCCTGAGCATCCAGGAGACCGAGGCAGATGTTAGGAGATACAGGCCAGCTAGGTTACAGAATGAGATCTTCAAAACCCAGAAAGAAAAACTAAATTTACCAGCCCTACCCCTGACCCTGCCCAGCCTCTTACCCCGCGTGCGCACATCCGCAGGGGTGAGACAGGCAGACTTCTGCACATCCCGCTATACACACTCAATGCAGCCCCCAACACCTGGGGACAGGTGCCATCATGTCCCATGGGTACTAAGATTTCTTGAATAGTTCCCAACACGATGGAAACATGACTAGAGACCCAGGGGGAACGTCCAGCATGTGGCTTATGAAATGTTCTAGCTGCAAAGAGGTGTGGCGGCTGCTAGGGACTTGATATCCTTACCTGCCCACCCCCACTGCCTGTTTTCTATCAATTCTGGTAGCTTCCTTCTGCTGATGCTGGAGGGGTCATAGGTCAGAGTTCAGAGGGGCAGAAGCAACATCAGCGACAGGTGTGGCTGGTGAGATGTGTCACCTGTGTGCCCACACCTACCCGTAACCTGGAGGTTTGGATTTTTCAGTGTATGGTGTGTGTCGTGTCTGCAGAGGGGGACCAGCCCCGGGCCTGGAGTTACACATTCCGTGAGCCACCACGTGGGTGCTGGGAATCAAACTGCTTCTCTGCAAGAACAGCCAGCGCTGTTAACTACTGACCATCTCTCCCGCCCCTTATTTGAGTTTCTTGATATAGGCCAGGCTGGCCTTGATCCTGCAAGATTTATGTGGTGCTGGAGACAGAATGCAGACTTGGTACAGGAGAACGCTCTACCCCCTGAGCTGCCGGCCTAGACCTATTTTCATTGTTGAGAGGGTCTTGCTACGGCCAGGCTGATCTCAGCCTTCTGAGGACCTGGACCACTGTTCCTGATTCTGGCAGTTGGTTTGGAGGAGACAAGGACCCTGGGAAGCCTGGGACCTGGAAACAGAACAGGCGTCTCCACTCCCAGTTCCCACCATGATGGGCAACAAGCTCCAAAGAAGACAGCCTCACACACACACCTGCATAGTGAGCCCCAGCTGCCGAATGCGGTCCTTGCCCTCCTTGGTCCAGGGTTCAGGCTCCGTGTCATCCCGTCGCAGGAGGTAGCGCCACACAAGGAAGCCAGATTTACCCTTCTCTGGCCAGTACTTCACCACCTGTGGAGAGGACAGCATGGCTGGTGCAGTGTGGCTCAGGAACTTCAGGGACACGGGCATGAGGACAGGCGCTCACCGCTTACCTTGTAGATGCCATCATATCGGTTGCCCTCCGCAGGTGCATACTTGCTGTATTTCCCCCCCTTCATGTTGCGGACCACACGTACTGGCTTCCCCTTGCGCCAGTCCCTGGCCTCCGATCCATTCTCACTGATTTCGGCATCACAGTTGAGCGCCAGAGCCCTTTGGGGAGACAGGACACACATGAGGGAAGCTATACATGTCCTCCCAGAGAGGCACACCCTAGCATCCATAGACACGTGGACCTCACCACCAACAGGACATCAGGACAAGGTCACTGGCATTGGCCAGAAGCTGCCAGAGGCTACTGTCTGATCTAAGCGTCCCCAAAAGGACCTGTAGAGGTTTCTCAGTGGTTCAAGAACTAGCTGGTCTCACAGAGGACCCAGGTCAATTCGTAGCACCTACATGGTGGTGTAACTCCAGACCCAGGGGATTCAATGCCCTCTCCTGGCCTCTGTGGACACTGCGCCCAAGTAATGTAGACTTGCAGGCAACATACTCACTCATACACATGAAATAATTGTTTAAATGTCCCCCAGAAGTCCCTGTGTTGATGTCTGGTTCCCCAGGGTAGAGGGAATGGAGCTTTTAAAGGGCGGGGCCCTTAAAGACTCCAGTGTCTTCTTCCTTCTCACGCCCGGCCCCCGTGCCACACTCTTCCCCATGTGTTGCCCCCTAGTGGGGGACCTCAAGACAACAGCTCAACCAAGGCCAACCCAGGTGTGCAGCCCGGGGACATCCT